AGAGTATATTGAAATAAATTCCTCCTCCTTCTCTCCTAAAAAGGGAATAGACGTTAAAAAAAAGGACGTATCGAGGACGAACGCGCTTTATTATCGCTCGACCTTTAGCAAATGTAAAAAAATTGTTGGGCGTCAAATATATGCGAATAAATAAAATCTATTTATTTCATCTCCCCGCAGAGCCGCGAAAAGCCTTGATCATTCTCTAGTTTAAAACATTCGAGTCAAATACTTTGCGACACGATATAAATTTCAGAGCAGGATGTTCCCGAAATGTGTTTACTATGCATATTATGTACAACTCCTACTCGTGACAAGTCTGTCTCTCAGTTTTCTTACATAATCGCTCTTTGTAGGCGTTCCGACAATTCCGCATACCATGTCGCCTCTAAGAAGATGTGACTGTTGTAATAATATAAAAATCCGTCGATTCATTCGCGGATCGCCTCGACCGAATTTTCGATTTAAACTTAAACACGTTCCAAACGCATCACTGCTTATAATAGCACATGTAAATGTTTATAGCTTAATAAAAATTGCATAATGTTAGCCTCGCAGCGCGGATGCAGCTTTTAATTTATCGGCCGGGTTTTTTTTTTTTCGCAAGTCCTCCTTTAAACGAACATGACAAACAAAACTCAACTTTCACTCAAATGAGACACTGGCAAAGCGGCGGCGGATATTAGGTCAGGGGCATTGTTAAATGAACAATATGAGAGACCTTGCGACAAAATCATTTGCATAACGGAAGCCGAAAGATGCGTATTCGCGTTGGCGAGGCTCCTTCGACCCCATCGATCTTTGACGTTAACGAACTTGGATTTCACGTCGAGTCGGGCCCCGATCGTTGATACTAAAGAACAACCGAGTTGCGTAAAACTCCCCGCGAATTGTGTTATTATTATTGTTGTCACTTCTGTTGACATTTTCCACAAGTTACACACGTAAGGTGACGTGCTTTATGCAATAATTCCACATCCATTTATTTGCAAATCAACTGACCATACCGGTAACTTCTTGAGTGTGTGCTCCAAACAATTTCATAAATATTCAATAGTTTTTTATAAAAATACACCTCTGCGATATTTATGTAATAAAAAATGGCACATTGCAAAATACCAAGCAAAATATAACCGAGTGTGATACGCGACGTTGCAGAATGACGACGACGATGATAAATCGTTCACCGTCTCAGCGATCTCAACTTTCAATTCACTGGCTCGACGGCCACAAACGGTCGTTCCCATCCCGGGATATTTTTTGCCCGTAAAAACGCCGCAGAATTCGGGGAACTATGATTTTCATCCCGCCACGCTCATCATCGTCCCTAATTGATCGCTCGAGAAAGCAGGACAAAAGCTCATCTTCTTGGAATCCCTTTCGCAGCGGAAAGAACCGAGAAGAATTGCGTTAGGCACGATTAGATGAATACCAGATGCATGCGAGGCATACGTTTTTTCCTTGTGCCGGCCGTCAAGCCGCTTATTTCTCAACTTTTTGACTTGTATTAATTACTCTGTTGTTTTATTAAACTCGTCTCAAGTGTGAAATATTCAGGTCCGTATTGATAGTCATTCATCTTGATTTATATAGTCATTAGTCTTTACATAACCATTAGTCTTAAAGCTTGCCTCGGATGACGTACATAGATGTAAATTTGCAGTTAGATGTAAGTTCCCAGCTGAATCGCGCTTACAAAAATAAGGTCGCATAATATTTTACACGATTCAAATAAAAAACTCACATCATTCAATAAAAAACACATTTAACTCTAAATTCAGATCTAAATATCTCCCGTGAGACAAGTCTCAAATAACGATTATTAACACGGGTCTCAGATTTTAATTCAGAGTTAGACAAAAATTGCTTTCAGGTGAATCGTTTCAAAAATTTCTTCAGCTGAATGCAGACGTAATGCCACATATATCATCCTGAGAATATCATCCGAAAAACCGGAATCTAGCTTTGAATAAGTCTCGACATCCCACTTGAAATTTGCCCGGAGTAAAGTACTCGCACACTGCGTCTTTCAGCTGAATCGCGCTTATAACTATAATGTCATATATATACGACTGAAACAGATAGCAAACTTAAATCTTAATTCAGATGTATCTCACGTGGGGCAAGTTTCAAGTAACTAGCTACTAATTCGGACTACTCATTCGCTCGATTCGCCATTGCTTCTCAACGAGTGAAAATCCACTTCTTCACAACATCATATTTCATCTCATTGGCAAATTGTCACAATGGGCAAATATGAAGTTTCCTAGATCCCTCCAGCTATCCCGAGGATCGATATCTCGAACGGCGATACCTCGCGAGTCGACTCCGATCGGCTCTTCGCGAGCCCGCAATTCGAGATCGCGAGATTTCGAGCCATCTCGGGGAAGCGAATTTTCCTTTTCTTTCCACGAAGGAGGATGAAGCTGGCTGACGACGGGATCCCTCGATGACGAGATCGTCGAGATATCGGCGTGACGAGAGCGCGAGGTCAGCCGTGTTTACCGCGAATTTCGGAGGGATCACGTCCTCGGTGCTCCCGCGTCGCGACGGTATCGCGCGCACGTAGAATCCTCCTCAGGTTCCCCCCGAAAAAACGAAAACACGTTTCCTCATTTGCGGCTTTTTGTGCAGCTCTACGTGCCGTTGCTCGTATACGCCTCCGTGCCGCTCATGATGCACTTTTTATCGCGCTGTCGTGCACGCGCGCGCGCCTGCAGGATTGCATGTACCTGGCGGGCGCGGAACAGGTAGTCGGACACGTGTGCGCGCGAGTGTGTGGGTGCCGTGCGTGCCCGCGTCTCGAAAACGCGCCGGGCCAGGCGCATATATAAGGCCCGCCGCTCTCGGAAATGGAATCAGTCTTCAACATGTTGCGCCCATTGCATTTCGTAAGTGAGATACACACGCGCCTCCTCTCGTCGCGACGACGACACGCGAAATCTCCCGAAGCCGTCCGGGGACAAGTTCAATTAGCGCGATCATCGGTGACCGCGGAATTGTCTCCCTCCGACGAATCGAGCGGACAGAACTACTGTAGAGAGTCGGTACTCTCGCCGCGACGGTAGATTAACGCGTTCGCCGCCGCGCAATTTTCCTCGCGGACTATACACCGTACTTTTTCATGTAATTGTGTAAAACAGACCTGGGCGGGTATTCGTAGTCGGATCTTACGGCGAAGATCGCTTCACGCTGCACGGGTTGGATTTCCTCGCCTACGGAGCATCCGAAGGTGAACTCGAGACGATCTAGAATATAAGAGCCGATTGTGTGAATCCACCGCCTTTGAGGTGACTTGCACGAAACTCTGAAGGTTAATCGAATTGACATTTTAAAATCGCTGACAAGTCCTGGTAAACACCAACTAACAGTACGAGGAAAAATATCTGGTTGCATTAATCGAAAAGGGAGCAGCCAGATACTGCGTTGGAGGAAACAGGATTTCTGACTATTATAACCCAAATATGGTTCTTACAGCCGGAAATTCGATTTCCTTCAATCAAAATGCATCCGGTTCTCCCCTTTTTCGTTAACATATCCAGACTTCTTTTTCGGTGTAACATTATATTAATATCGTAATTTCTCATTCAACAATGCAAATGCAATATATAACAGTTATACCTCGTTGAATGGGGAATTATAACATTGTTATAATGTTCTTGTTAATCGATGTTTACTGATCTGCCAATTATTGTTGAACGATAAGTTACGGAACTGAAGATTGATGATTGACGATTCTTGTTTCACACAGCACACTTTGTCCGAGAGACGTTTTGGGAATGTCCTTAGGATGTAACACGTCCTCTGGACGTCTTCAATACGTCTCTTAGAAATCTGTGCTTTATGGGGTTATCATTCATCGATCATCAGCTTAATCAGAGTTTGGTTAAAGTCAGTCCTGATTCGTTTATGTGAAGAGAACGGAAAAATAATCGCCTATGCGACGTCGGTAGCGAACATCGTAGAAACCGAGCCGCGCGTTCTCCGCGATTCGACCTAGACGCAGCAGAAATTTCTGAAAGGCGTCTCCGAGATATCTAAAAAATACAAGATATCCTCCGGGCTTAGATCTGAGTTTTACAACTGCATCGTACGATAGATTTCTTCTATCTGTAAACGTTATTCACCTGAGAGGCTCACATCTAACTCCGAATTCAAATCCGAGCATCTCACTTGAGACAAGTTTCAAGCAACGACTGTTAATACGAGTCCGAGACATCTTTCGGAGCTTCGCACCGTCCGAGGACATCTCCGAGTTCGCACCGGTGGGGTCTTCGCGGACGTTCGAGCGACGGTCGGGCTCGCGATTTCCCTAGTTGAATCGAGGTAATCGCGACTCATCGTAACTAAGAAACGCGTCTCTCTCGACTGATTCCAGGTACTCCTTCTCTCTGCGTTCGCCTTCTTCGCGTCCGCCTCCGCTCTGGAGACCAAGGAACCGATACAGAGTGAGGTCGAAACGCCGACCGCCAACAGTGACCTGGAAGCGGACGCCTCTGCCTACTGGGGGTGAGTTCCTTTTATTCACGTACACGCGACGTCCGCGTCGCAAAATAAGGAAGAGGATCGGAGGATCCGAACGTGGGCGCGTGCGACAGGAACTCCCCGTAATAACACATTCTGATCTTCGAGATCTTTAATCATTCAGAGAGCCAGGGCTCTCCCCGCCGAAGTCGCGGCCACTCATAGCGGCAAAATATTTAAATAACGTATCACGTATTCCGCCGTAATCGGGGATTATTCAAGAAGCGCGCGGACGTACTTCGCGCTTGCGCTTTGTATGCGAAGTTCGCGGGCGCGCACCGTCACACGACTCGTTTACGAAATTGACGGCGGGACGTTGTTTGAAAAATATCGCTCTTCCCGGCTTCCTCTCCGCCGGACGGCAGCATCTTCATTCGCATTCACACAGCCGCTTTACCGGCTCTCTTGAACCGTGCACCGTGAATCACGGACGTTAGCATGCGTCTTAATTTCGTCAAGAGCGTTCTAACTGGTCGCGCGCACAAAGAACGCGACTTCCGACGCGGTTAATTTGCGACGACTTAGCGAATCCGCTCTTCAGTATGCGAAGCGTCTAATTTTGCCGGTGACGCGCCTCGCTCCGGTGCAATCGGTGTGAAATCGGGCATTTGTACACACGATGCGCGCGACGAGCGCCCCGCGTGCGCGAAATGTTTGATCGCCGATGTGTAACGCGGAAAGAAAAAAAAAAACTCGGTCCCTGCGGCAAAATGGGAAAGTGAAAATCCGGTGGCGAGAAACGAAAACTCGGCGGCGAAAAGTGCGATATCTCTGTTACCGCGACGGGGAACACTTCGTGCGAGCACTCGGCTGCGTTAGAACTCGGCTGGGACGACTGAAAACGACTGGGAACCTCCTACGGGAAGCTTTCTGTTCCCGCAGCCGAATTTTCGCCCGGTCCCTGGGCAACGGAAAATTCGATTACACCGACGGAATGGTGTTTTCCGCGCGCTCGCTTTTCCGATCGAGCGGTTCGTGTCGGTACGGTAAAAAAATTTCGCGTCAAGTTCAACACATTGCACATGTCCTAAACGGCCCACGCGAATTTTTGCATTAACTTAACACAAAGCGAACATGTTGTAAAGTGACGTAAATATGATGTCAAACATTCGCGCAGAATTAATACATTAATCGAAGTGTAAAATGTATTATTTTGACACTCGCACATGTTCAATATCGACTCAACACAAAATACTGAGATAACATAAAGACGATATGTTAAATTAACACATTGGTATGTTAAAAGTTTAACAGAAAAATTCTAAGAAGAACCGATTTTGACAAATATAAAATATTTTTTACCGAAAGCCTCGATGCGAATTTGAACGATTCACGAACGCACTTCCAGATACGGACGACCGTACTACGGCGGCTGGGGATACGGTAGATATCCTGGATACTACGGCGGATGGGGCGGCAGATACTATGGCGGCAGAGGATACTGGGGCGGCAGAGGATGGGGAGGCTACGGCGGCTACTGGGGTTGATGCGATTTAGCGCGTTCTAACCGAAGAGTGATCTCCCACCACCGTCCTTGGCCTTTCTCTTACTAATGTCCGAATGTTCTCTAAAAACACGCGAAACCTTCGTCGAGAGCTTCGCTAGTTTTCTAAGTTTTACTGGAGTCTCCATTGCATAAGAATAAATAAAGAAAATGTAAAACAAAGATACAACGAATTCTCCTCTCTCTCTTTTTTTCTTTCTCTCTTTCCCCCGACCCTGTTATTTCTCTCGCGCATACATCACATACAGTGCCGTGCATTAATGCTTGCCCATTCTTTAGGCGTAGTGATATCGGAAATTTTTAATTAGGCGTATCATTCTTTTTACATTCGTACACCGTGACTGCTGATTATTCTGCGAACCGACAAGGATACTTCGAAGCAGCAGTCATCACGCGCAAATATTTAGAAATGACGCGCCTGATTCGATATTCCGATGTCACTACGCCTAGGAAATAGGATTCTATTAATGTACGGTACTGTACAATCGGGTGCACATTGGATAACGACACGAATGGTGCGAATGATGAAAATTTCGCACAAAGAACACGCACATCGCACTCAATTCGTTGGCGGTTGTAATGACGGATCTTGCGCATTAAGGGTGTGTTGGTTAAATAAGAGTACACAATATGTAAAAAACTGTAATTATTATTAATCGTAATAATATGATTAATGGGACAATTACGCGACTATGTGCACATTAAAACACCTTATCCATATCTTACAAGATCAGCTTTCTTGTACACTATATACAGTAACTAAATATCATATTACTCATTTGCAATATAATAAAACTATCTATATTTTATATATATATATATTTATATTTATATATATATATATATATATTCATATTTATATATTTATATATTTATATATCCATACTCATATATATACACATATACATATGTAATCATATGTAGATATATATGTGTACATATATAGATATATATATAATATTAGATTCATCATTATTTCTTATTGACGCTATTGTTATTTCAATATATATATATGCATGTAAGAAACGATTAAAAATTAACCAAATATTTATTCTTTAATTCTGTACAATATAGGCTCTTAAAACTTTGCTTATCACTGAAACAATTTACAATGTGGTACGTGTGTGTAAGGTATGAAGTATCTGCGAAAATTCTTTCGCTCGCGTGACGTGCCAAACGAATCGGCGTCGTCTGTCGGCTCGACCGTCGATTCCCACGTCGATCGAAGAAGAATCAAGCGCGACAGACGCACGCGCGCGCGCACGTCGAGCGGAGGAGCCGCGAAGAAACTCGGCCCCGGGAAACCACCGCTTCCGCGGCCGATGAGAATTTCAAAAGCGCCGGCGGGCGCGCAGGCCGCCGGCGCTATAAACAATACTTTGTTTGATTTGATTTTTCTGCGCTGCATAACAAGAAACTAAAGAGTTATGACAATAAAGAAGTGGGACGAAACGGTATCGCCAGACTCTCTCGCGCTCTCTCATATTCTCTTTCTCTCACTTGCTCACTCTCGCATACGCGCAAACACACACACACACATATACACGCACGCACATAACACACTCTCATATATTCTTTTCTTCCTTTCTGTCACATTTGAACTCTCCTCTTCCTCTTACGACACGCAAGATCGCGGCAAAAAACTACTTTACCTTTCAACCCAACGCGTTTGCATGTCATGTCTGTGTGGGGGATGTGTGTGAGTGTAGGTGTGATGTATATGCGTGTGTAATATACATGGAAGATGCTTAATCGATCGATAATCGAATCTGATGACGATGGTGATTACCCCGATCCGTTAATCTCTCAAATTGGCGAAACTTTTTCGGCGATTCTGGAATACGTGACTTCGACTCGAACGCGACAGATCGAGAGAGAGAGAGAGAGAGAGAAAGAGAAAGAGAAAAAGAGTTGACACCGCGCGAATTTTTCATTTCGGCAACATGTAATTTTGTTCTCTCTGTTTTGTCGTATTATTTCTTTTCTCGCGCAAAACCTCGAAAAGTTCATCGTTCGAGCAGAACAGCGCCACGAGTTCCCCCCTCCCCCCCCCCCCNGGAAATGATCCTTGATGCCCACTCGAAAGAGGTATCGCGAGTCTTTCGGCGCAATCTTGCATTCATTATCGTTTCTCGGCTTTTGAATGTGCTCGTCCTGAAAGAAGCAACTCAAGACCACCTGGAAGATTAGATCCGTACGGTAACACAGCCGTTATTTAAGCTTCATACCAATTACAGATTCTTGAATCTTAACCGACATACAAATATATACAGACTCTCTTCGTGCTCTCCGGACACGCGTCGTGTTACGATTGTGGAACGAGAATTCGCAAAGTCCTTCAGTAATCCGCGAGCTTTTAGCCCCGGATCGCCGGTTTACATGACGCCGTGCTTTCAATTTCAACTGTAAACAAACTAGCTGTCTCTTTCGCTCCAAAATAAGAAGAACGTTCTCTTATTGCTCAGTTCTCGGTGCGCCGTCAGGGTGATCTTCCGTTCCACAATCGAGCGGTGCGCGCAGGCCGGGACGAAAGACCTTCGCTTGGAACAATCGCAACAATTGCACATTTCGCGTAAATCGGTCACTCGAGCCCGCTTTGGACGATTCGTAGGAAAAACTCGAAAATTCGGAACAACTTCTCGGACGAAGTGCGATCCTGTGCGAATAGCGCCTAAAGCGGGCCTCGAAGTACAACAATTTCGACTTTCACATATCTGAGACATCACACTTAGACTTCTTAGATACAGAGCATTCGATCGCACGGCATCAGCTTCGTATTCAACTATCGCTCGCACTCACATTTGATCTCACGCGACTGCGACTACAATAGTGTCAACGGTTTCCTCCTTGGATACCAGCAATTTCAAATATACCGTCTAAGTGTGTCAGGAGGAGTGAAGATCTCGAGAAAGGAAAACGTTTAAAATATGTCTCCGGAAAGACACACACAGGCAAGTCGTTTACGTATTTGAGATGCTCGCGCGTGAATAGTTGCGACACGAACTACGATGATCAGTGAACTCCTACGGATATTTTAGACTCCGGTGAAACGGAGCTTTATACGACGATGTTGCGTTTTCGCACGCACACAGAGAAAAATATTACTTGCACCGCGAGAAAAACCAATTATATCGCAAGCACATCGAGCTTATTTCGAATTTATTCCCTATCTTAACATAAGTTTAGCACTTCAATCGAGAATATTAAATTAATAAACTAAAGAAACTTCGGTCTATTTATTCCAATTAACGACAAAATTAAGAAGAAATTCTTCTTTTGAGCGAATGACAATGAGTTCTCCCAATATCTGTGATGAATATAAATTAACGTTATATCGAGGAAATATTTTTTGTTCAAGACAATCATTACCTAAAAGAAGAAAAGTAAACTAAACAATCGCTTTTCCTCGCAGTACAAGTAATAGTTTCCTCCGTGCACCCTTGCGTGCGGAAGGATGGCTCGATATGTTGCTACAATTCTCCGAATTTGACCGGTTGCAGGTTTGATGTGCCGCCAACTCGTGTTCGTAATTCCGTCGTTAATTCACGAACACAACATTCGCCGTGTTACATTATCTCTTTGCTTCAATGTACTCGTGTGGAATGAAGCTATTCGAAGTTGCTGGTACTAAATGGTGGCGATAAGAAGAAGCAGAAGAAGTACGGTGGTACGGAGACGGGGCGCAGTGCGATCCTTGCAGGAGCCTCTTCTCTCTCGCGGGGTGATGAGGGGGGTGACGATGATGACGACGAACGACGATGATGGGGGTGCGTTGCCCGCGTCGGTCTCGCGGACTCGTCGAATGTGTGCGCGTGACACATGTCGGAAAGGAAACCTCGCTCTCCTCCTTCGCATTTTCTCATTCTTTCCTTCCTTCCTTTAATCCCCTCTTTAACGCACGCAATTCACATCGCACTTGAATACCGGTACAGAAAAATGGCACACGCCGCTTCATCAACCATGAGTATTTTATGCGCATAACTCTCGTTACTTACGTGGCGAGATTAAAACGATACGACTTCTTAGTACAAAAACGAAATACATAATAATAGCAAATAGTAGCGTGTGTGTACGTGTGTGTAGGTACATGTCGTTTGTGTGTGTGCGTGTGTGTGTGGCTGGGTGGTAGTGTAATAATAATGATAATGCGTTAATAATAAACGGAGAGGAGGAAAGTAACCATTTAAAAACCGCTCTCGAATGGTCTTCTTCTTCTTGCTGTTTTTTTTGTTTTCTTTTTCTTCGCTTTTTCCTCTTCGGGAAAGAATCCGTGGTCAATAAATAGCGTCCTTATACATTGATCGGTATAAATAAATACACGCGTTAACCCGCAACAGAGCTACAACGTGAAAAGGGATAAAATATGCAATATCGCGGCGCTAATAATGACGCGTTGGTACTATAAAAAGACTATGTAACAAATCGCGATGGGCGCGAAAACGTAATATATATATGTATATATTAACGTGTAAAAAAATATAATAAAAAATATCCTCGAACTCGGCGTTCGCTGAAATCTACTTTGCGCGCGGCAGCACACGCAAATTGCACACCGTAGGGCGAAAACGAAAAAAAGGAGGGAGAACGGAGAAACGGACGAGTCTTTTTCTCTCGTTTCTCGCGACGACAATGACACACGTATAACCGATTGTTCGTTTCAGCGCGAAGAAAACGAGAGAGAGAAAGAGACGCGTGTCGGTGTTCGCCCTGTTGTCTTTTTTTCGATCCTTTCCGTTCCGTAACGCGTGTAAACGACGCGAACGGATATATGATATACACGCTCGTGAGTCGAAAAGCGCTGCACAGAGACCCGATAAGCTGTCCTGAAAATAAAAGTCAAAAAAAAAAGGGAAAAAGAAGAATAGGAAAGGAAAAAACAACTGAAGAGTGTCGATGATGTTGATGATGAAGAGAGAGAGAGAAACGGAAACGCGTGTCTCTTTTCTCATTTCGCGTTTCACAACCGGCCGGTGGTATACGCCTCCTCGTCACGGTAATCGATATTATAATCGTTCGATCGAAATATAATATTCTACAGGGTGTTGTGATTTATTAAAATTCGTTATAGCTAGCGTTTAAAAATCACGACCTAGGCGGTGATTTGAGAAATATGCCTTTTGTACAAGGTATTCTTTTCTTACGTCGCCGACGCGCGGTACCCCGCTAAGGTGTCGATCCTCGGCGCTTCCGGTGAGAATACGGACGTCGCCCTGGTCAGGACGAGAGTTCGAACGGGTGGAGTTTGATGTGCCGCACCGACCGTCTTTTTCTCTTCTCTTATTTTTTTCTTCCGGAATTTGCGAGAAAGAGGGAGAGAGAAGTCGCATCGACAAGCGTGAGAAAGAGAGAGAGAAAGAGGGAGAGAGAGAGAGAGGGAGAGAGAGAGAGGGAGAGAGAGAGAGGGAGAGAGCGAGAGAGAGAGAGAGAGAGAGAGAGAAAATCTTTGAGTGGCGCACGTCGAACAACGTTTCGTGGAAATTCTTCTTAGGTAAAAATTCAACACGGAGTCTCGATCGTGAGACGGCTCTGCGATGAAGTGAAGGCAACGTAAAAAATTTCAGCGCCACTCTAAAGGACGAATGAAAGCGATGGAAAGTGTTCGCGCGATAAGATCTTTATCTCTGTAAGATTTTTAGACAGGGGGAAATTGGACGACGCACATGATAAGATGATATGCTTCCATGTCTGTAGAATTCGGTGCGGTAGTTATGTAACTTACATATTTGGCGTCACAAGGCTGTTGCAAAGCTCGGCCGGTGTATGTCTAATAACGAAGAGGAACAATCGCGAACGATTGTAACGCGCGCTTTCGGCCCTTTGTTCGCGCCGATTGACAAAGCTAACAGGCGATACGAAGGAGACAGCCAACAACAGAAAGAGAGAGAGAGAGAGAGAGAGAAAGGGGGAGGGGGAGAAGAGTGACTACTCCACTCGCGGCGGATTCGATCGGCGAGGAACTGCGCGCGGCGAGGCGATACCTTAGCGGGCCGTCAATCCCACGCTCCCTCACCACACCTGAAATGCACGTGTTTTCAGTATTTATGTAAATTTTGGGCACTTTGTGACATTTCACTTCACCCTCAGATCATTTACAATAGTTAATAATTTATGTTACACACTTACAACATTTCTAGTGAGTCTCTGTCTCAACATTGAACAATATACACTTGTGTGTGCGAATGTTCTGTGGCTGCGTGTACATGTATGCGTGTGTACGTGTGTATTGTGTACGTGTGTTAATTTATATGCCGCGTGTGTGTACGTGTTAATGTGCAGGCGCGTACGTATATTTGTTGCGTGTGTACGGTACGCACGATGAGAGAGAGAGTCGCCAACACAGAGACACGTGCGCGCCGTAACATGTATATACGTAGTATACACGTGTGTACGAATCGTCTAAGAGAGAACCACTAATTACCGTATTATACAATTATCATTAATTATCACCTAACTTGGCATCCTTGCGGGAGCGGTGCGGGCGGACACCCCGACGAGTTGTGATTCGCGGACTGAGGCAGCAGTGGGATATTGTTCTCTTTGGAAGATTGTTTCTCCGGCGCTCCGTGCTGCTGCTCCTCCGGTCTGGCCTCCGCCGCGGCCGCGGCCGCCGCCGCGGCGGCGGCGTTGGCTGCCGCGGCG